AATGACCCACTTTTTTTTTTATGAATTAATTTTCACCGGTGAAATAACTTCCAAGTAAAATAACTGAATATGAAGCAAATGAAATTGCAGCACTTAGATAAACAAAAAAAAAAAAAAAGATTCTGTTGAAAGTAATCAGGTAACATGTCATAGCATGGTCATTCCTCACTGGGACTGTTTTTAGAGGCATTATATGCATAGTAATGGTGTTTCTAAAAACCCAGGTACATAAAGTAATTGGAGAAACTCAAGGTGGTACAAAGGATGAACAGATCATTCTAATAGAGACTTTCATGACAAATGACACAGATTCAGGTTATGTTGATTGATTTTGTAAATGATATTAAACATATCCTGGTGCATAAGGGTTGGATGTTTCAACATGATAATGATCTGAAACATGCTGCAGTGAAAATGAGTAATTAAAGGCAAAGAAAATAACAGGCCAAGCCAGTCACCTGACCTAACTCCCATAGAAAATCTATGGAAAGAGTTCATTAGATTAAAGTTCAAAACTCAAGCAAAGTTAAGGTGATTTGTCATCAGAAGTGGAATAAAATTGGAGTTAATTTCTGCAAGAAACTTATTTCAAATTATTCTAAATATTTGACAACTACAATAGCAAATAAGAGACACTAAGTTAAATAATGAATTAGAGATGGGCAGTTTAACCAAAAAACCAAATTTTTGGGGTTTCATCTTTACACCATGAAACCACATCAAATTTTTTTATGAAACCAAAATCATTCAGTTTAGTGCTATCACTAATGAGTGACCATATCCAAAGAAACACTATTGAAAAAGACTTTCAGATGTTAGTTAATAAAATTAAATTTTATCAACATTTATATCATTGTAAGAGAAAAAGATTGAACAAAAGCATTTAATTGACTAGTTTTAGGAAATAAATGTGAAATCTATTTTACAAAAGAAATGAAGAAAAAAAAGGAAATATGACAATTGGAAATCCTAAAGTTTTCAAACAGAAAAAAAAAGGAAAATACATGATGTCTGGAAATCTATTTCAGTTTTCAAAAAAAAAAAAAAAAAAAACTTTTTGTGGTAAAATTAAGTTAACATCAAAATAGCGAGTAAAAATAAAAAAAATCGTTGCCAGTTTTGTCTCAATGTTAAATTTTATGAAGTCGGAATTTTTTTCTAAGGGTAATCATTTTCTAGTGTAAGCTAGTATGCAAATCACGAGATAAAGTTATTGTAAACAAGAAAAATGAATGAAAATATTTTTTATAAATAAATTTGTATTTTTATCTAGCAAAAGCACCTGTTAGATATTAAGAATAAATAAAATAGTTCTTAATTTCACTTTTAAAATGTGTATATTTCCAGATATACAAGTCCCTAGTGTAATTAAAATTGTTTTTTTCTACAAATTGTTTCTATCTAGTGAATACACCTAAAATTAGATATTAAAAAAAATAAAGTAAATTTTAATCTCAGTTTTAAATGTGTATATTTTCAAAAATGCAAGTCATTTTTTTTCAAAACCAAAGTAAAAAAAAATTATTCTTTTTTTAGCTACTTGTGTCCAGTAGGTTTTTTTGTCTATAAAATTCTTCTAAACAAGGAAAATTAATTCCTTTTATTTTTACAAATATCTTTATGGTTTTATCTAGCAAATACACTTAAGATTATATATTAAAATGATTAAAATAGTTTTTAATTTCAGTTTTAAAATGTGTATCTAAAAAAAGAACAGGCGATACTCACAGATTTGGAAATCTACACATTCTAAAAATGAAATTAAAAGCTTTTAGTTATTTTTAATATTTAATTTTAGACGTATTCACTAAATAAAAACCATAAATTTATTTAGGGAAAAAAACATAACTCATTGATTTTCCTTGTTTAGAAGAAATTTATTTACAAAAAAAAATAAAAACCCAATAACAGTTGACTGGTGCACCAGAAAAGAATTGCCATATATTTTAAACGAGGGGTTTCATTTTTTGGCTTTTTAAAAGCAAATTATTATCAGCATTTCTGAATATAAACAGAAGAATTTTTTGTCTGTAAATAAAATAATTAATCATTTGAAAATAAATGTCTGTCAGTGTCAGACAATAGTTTCAATAATTTGAAAGTTCATTTATTACTATCAGTTGGTCTTTTTTTTTTTTCTTTGCTTACTTTATAATTTTGGAAGGAATTCACTTCCACAGGTCAGAGAAGAAATGAACATCTTCCTGGTTGTAGTTTAAGGTATCTTCTAATTGAGTGTACAATTTTAAGAATATTGATAAAGACTGGTCACTTTGATTTTGCAAAACAAAGTAACATGTAAAATTTATTTTAAAAAAAAAAATCATATTTCGCATTTTTGGCTGTTCGAAACAAAATAGAATTTTAACTTGCTGTAAAAAAATAATTCAATTAATAAAAGCACTTACAAGTTACATATTTAGAAAGATTATTTTATTTTCTTTCCAGCCATATGAATATTTTTAAGATTGGACCAGAAATACACAAGAAATTACAAGTTGAACAGACTAAGTTGCAAATTTATCAATCTCAAACAAAACCAGACATCAAGTGGAAATGCTATCATTAAACAAGTAAATGAATGGCTTCCTTAGAAAACAAAAATACTAAATTAAAAACCAACACATAAATTGCCAAATTGACCAACTATAATGAATGCAGTATCAATGCTTTTGAGGTTAAATGTTGAATTTATATGGAGGATACCTCATGAGAGGCAAAGGGAGTAAACCAAAAGGAGACCATAGACAGAGGAAAGACCCATGAATGGACTGACCCAGATTGTAATAGTAAGTAAAAAATAAAGGTGAATTAACTAATACAGGCTACTGGTGTTCAATCTAGTCTCATTAATCCCAGGCTGAAACACCTGATACAGATGAAGGACTATAAATTGGAAAGAGGCAAGTGTTTTGCAGTCAATCCTAATTGGATCAGAACCAACATTTGCCCATTTCAAAAATGGGAAAACATGCAAAATTGCATGAACAGAAACAAAAAAACATTTTGCACCTGTTAAAACAGAAAAAGGTCAAATGAAAGCGTTTTTTGAACACATGAAGTGAAAAATTGAAAATAAATGTGAATACAATATATATAAACTGTGAAATAGGGATGATTATATTGTAAATATGTAAAACAAAATAATAAAGGATACTTTACACTCATTGCATGATACTATTTTGATTTTACACGTATATGAAAATATTGATTTTTACATGTTGAATTATAAAAAGAAAAGAAAGTTGTGTAGTATTACATGTTTTACTAAAGAGAAATAAAATACAAGAAACCTAAGGGAGGAATGTAACATGATGGATGTTACTTTTGCAGAACAAATAAACCACAAGGAGGCTTGACAGTGGATGACAAACAGAATAAAATGTAGAAAGACCTAATCTTATAGAACCAGAGAAAACAGGAGAAATTGGTGCAACTGAATGTAAAAAAAATTGGATATGTTGAAGTATTCTTAAGAAAGTGCACCTGAATATCTTATAATAACTGTTCATTTTGAAATGTTACATTTCATGTGGCACAAGGCCAAAAGCAAGAAAGGGAAAAGCTAGCCATTGCTTACTATCCTACACCTAGCTAATCTGATTTGCCTGAGCATCTTAATATAACTGTATGGTCTTGAACTCACATGATGACAAGTAATAAACTACCACCACAGCTGAAATCAGGAATCATCTCTAAAGTTCCTTGAGACCGACTTGTTTTTATAAAGATCTATTCATCAGATTTAAGTAGTTTCTTAGGCAGAATAATTTAAGAGAAAAGAGCTTTTCACAAGGAATAACAGAATCAGCTGGTGATTTAATAGGAAGAATAGTTGCAGGAAAGTTAGTTATCAGAAAGAAAAAAGACCCTGTAGCTATGAAATGAAGAAGACTTATAAAATATAAATTGACAGTTAAACCATGCTAATACATTACTTGTGACTTAAGTTTTAATATAAATGACTAATGACTGGTAGCAGGGCAGAGAGAGTATATCAGAAGGATCCTGATCAAATGCAAGACACATGAAGCATCAGAGAGAACTAAACATTATCTATATACCCATAACATTAACTGCAGTCAGGATCATACTGTCATTGTGATGACTACCTAACATATGCCTCACTAAGGTTACATATGGTTTTAAATTACAGTTGTCCTTCTCCTAAATTGGCTGCTAACCCTGGCTATGGAGCCTAGGCTACTATTTAACATATAGCTAGGGGAAAATGGATAGATTTATACCTTCGGCAAGGTTATTTGTTCAAAAGTCTAACAAACTTGACTGAAATTTTAACTCTGCTTGTTGACTTCTTATTCCAAGCTGCTAATCATAACACCACCTGCACATCAAAATTGTAGTAGCAATAGGTAAAAATAAAGGCAATCTTGCCAACACAGACTACTGTTGTTCTATCATCATCATCAACAGTTGCAAAACAGCAATTCATGGTGCAAATCCATGTAACATCCTATTGACTTGTTCTGGTTTTCTTCCAGGACATTGGTTAGTCTCAGGAATATGTCAACTTTGGAACATTTCAACCTTGAACTTGGGACTTCATCAAATTTTTTTAAAATAAAATGGAGTGGAGGAGTCTCTTGTCCAGGATGCTGCTGGACCAGTGATCAGAACATGAACCTATCCTTCATCTATAGTGTTACATTTGATTTTGGTAAGCAAGCTCATTTCCACTATACCGTTACATTTGATTTTGATGGGTTGATTCAATTTCTATGGCTTATCAACACATTGCAGGTTCTTTAAAGCCAGAAAATATTTTTAGATTGCAAGATATTTTTTGGAGTGGAGATAATATGACTTAGTAATACAAGTCTTACTAATTAACCCATAGATGCAGGGAGAAGTGGATTCATACCTTTTCCAAGGGTATTTGTGTATAAATGAATATAACGAACCCAATAGGAATTGGAATTTGGCTCTTTGATTAGTAATTCCTAGCCATTACCCATTACATCATCTGCACATTCAAGTTCACAGTACTTGGTATTCCAAAGCAATCACCCATCTAAGTACTGACCAGACTCAACATTGCTTAACTTCAGTGATCATATGTGAACCAGTGTTTCAATCTAATATGGTGACTGCAATCAAGACATGAGTGGTTTAATAGTTCCTTCCTACTGAACATGGTGTTACAATAGTAGTGAAACTTTCAAGAACTTTACCAAAAATTATCCCATGTTTCCACAGCATTAGCAATGGGCAACTTAACAGTAAGGTAGCCAGTCTGCAAATAATTTATTCAATTAGTAAAAAATAATAAATAAGATCAATGTTACCTGGCCATTCATGTCTGCTAATATGGCAGATTTGAATTAATAACAACAGCAAAAAAATAAATAATTATTTCAAACTATTTTTCTCATCTTGGTTGTCAAGTTATTTCTAAAGAATTAATGGATTTTATTTCTAATCTGACATTATTTCTTATTACTCTAGATTATTTTTAGTAAATACACATGTTTGGGTAGATACCATTTCTTTAAACAGTGTGAATTACATCTACTGGTCTGCACCTTCAAGAGAATAAAAGTAAATGTGTTCTCCATCAGGGGACATAAAGTGTTGAAAGCTATATTTTTTTTAAGTCTATGAAATCTGCAAGCCACTAGATGTAATCCACAGTTTAAAAAAAAAGAAAGTATCTACTCAGACATGGGTATCTACTAAAGATAACCTTTAGAGTAAGGCACTCAATCACATGGTTCATGGGCTATCATTATGTAGCATGCAGGGAATCATTTTTGTGATCAATATTTTCCTCAAAATTTAATAAGTTTAATTCATTTTCCCCTTGCCTCATTCATACTTTTACAGTAGCAGTATTGAACTTGATCTATCCACCAGGTGCCAACAGTCAATAAATTTTAAGGTCAGTGAGGACTGTTCTAGTTCCTCTGCACAGAAGAAAAGAAAACTAGACTCTGATACTGAAAGATGCGTCCAGTGTTAAGTTTTTGTCTCACATTTTGACAATTGATGATTCTTTTTTAAAATTACATGTGAAATTGGCTTAAAAAAATGTACTTAATAAACACAAACATCTGGAATACATGTAAAATCTTGCCTACCCCTTCAATCTCTCTCACATTCACAATTCCTATCACTCAAAAATACAAAACTGATTTATGTTTGTGGGTCTGTAGAACCTTAGTTGGGAACCTATCTCTAAGAGAGACCATGAAACCCATGATTGGGAGCCCATCGACAAGGTTCATGGTTGATGGCCTTTCCATTGGTAATACCCTGGTGATTGGCCAGCTTTTAGCCTGCTGCACCTCTCACTCAGTATGTAATGGCTCTTTTTTTGTTCTCAAGTTATTATGCTCTGATTTAAGATGACACAATGTTTTGGACAATTACTCTGTGGCCATCAGCAGATGTCAATTGTTTGGGTTACATGAGATAGCTGTTGATTATTGTTATTTGGTCCCTTGTTTGTTCCTGTTGAACTAGTTTCACTACCTGATCCAGGAATTGAACATTAGATGATTATAACACACCTAACTCTTCTATCCATTACACCATTGTCCCAAAAGACAACAGTAGTGTTTTTTGGAGCCTTTATATTCAATTTCAGATGATTTTGATAATTGACTATCATGGTGAATTACTAACACTTTTCATAGTTTAGAAAATAAAGTACATAATTATCTAAACTAACAAAACAAAAAATTTATTTAACATTCCCAAGCAAATACTTATTCATAATATATATACTGTAATATATTACTTATTTTTCATTTAAGTTTTTTTTATCATTCTTCATTTTGAATTTCTGAACAAAAAGCTGTCAACAAAATTGAATGAAGGAAAATCCATCAAAATAATGCAACACCAAATTTACATACCACAAAATGGTAAATCTATAGAACAATTTGGGGAAAAAACTTATTTTCACATGTTTCATTGATCAAACATCAAAATGGTTTTTATTTCAACTAAATCTACATTAGCGAGACACCATGATTTATATTAATCAAATGAATGGGTGATAATTTTTTTTTATGTTACTTGTATGAAAACTTGATTTTTTTTTTTTTACTGCATTGTTGCATAATAATTTTATTTATATGTTTATTTATATTAAGATCTATCATATCCCATATTGTTTCAACACCAGTTTAATATGAAAATAAATACCAGGTTAAAATTGGGATCATAAAGAGTATGTTCAATTTCAAAATCCTTTCATATTTTTTGCTATCTGGAATTCATTGCCAAATGCTGATTCACAAACTGAATTTGAATTCTGTGAAAAAGTTTATCCATACATTTTACAGAACAATGGTTTCTACCTTGTATGTATTCGCATGTGTCTTCTTAAGCTTGAATTCACTGAAAATGCAGAGCCACAAACTTCACAAGAATATGGTTTCTCTCCTGTGTGTATTCGCTTATGTTTTTTTAAATGGGAATTCACTGGAAATGCTGACCCACATACTTCACAAGAATATGGTTTCTCTCCTGTGTGTCTTCGCATATGTACTTTTAATTTAGAACTCTCTGAAAATGCTGATCCACACACATTACAAGAAAATGGTGTCTCCCCAGTGTGTATTTGTATGTGCTTTTTTAAATTGGAACTCTCTGAAAATGCTGAGCCACACACTTGACAAGAAAATGGCTTCTCTCCTGTGTGTATTCGCATGTGTCTTTTCAAACTTGAACTATTTGAAAAAGCTGAACCACATATTTCACAAGTAAAAGGTTTCCCTCCTGTGTGTATTTGCATATGATCTTTTAAACTAGTACTCTTTGAAAATGCTGATCCACACATTTCACAAGTAAATGGTTTCTCTCCTGTGTGTACTCTCATGTGATTTTTTAAATTGGAACTCTTTGAAAATGCTGAGCCACACACATCACATGTATATGGTTTTTCTCCAGTATGTATCCGCATATGTACTTTTAAATCGGAATTCCATGAAAATGCTGATTCACAAACTTCACAAGAAAATGGTTTCTCTCCAGTGTGTATTCGTAGATGATCTTTTAAGTTGGAACTCTTTGAAAATGCTGAGCCACACACTTCACAGATATATGGTTTTTCACCTGTGTGTATTCGCATATGTACTTTTAAATCTGAATTCCATAAAAATGCTGTTCCACACACTTCACATGTTGGTTTCTTTCCTGTGTGTATTCGCTTATGTTTTTTTAAATGAGAACTAATTGAAAATGCTGATCCACACACTTCACAAGAATATGGTTTCTCTCCTGTGTGAGTCTGCATGTGTCTTTTCAGTTTGCAACAGTATAAAAATGCTGTTGTACGGAATTCACAAGAATAAGGATTTTGTCCTTTGTATGCTGGTGTATGATGGATTATGAATTCTTTCAACATCAACACATTTTGCAAGAATACATTTTCTCTTCAGCATTCTCCTGCATATGTCTTTTCAAATTTGAAAACTTTTGCTCTCCCATAAAATTGATATCTGTGAATAAAGAGGAGGTGTTATTGAAAAAAAAAAAAAATGAAATGCATGCATTATTTGCTATTATAAAATAACTGCAACATATGTAATTTACATTTAGTTATAAATAAATAAAAATTTATAGAAGGGCTGTAAATTTCATAGACGGACTATGAAGGAGTAATGCTAGAGCTGTGAAATCTTGCATATATTAATTTCAATTTGTCCTATTAATAACTGCATTGTTTATTTTCAGTTAAACTGACTGTTCATCCCGTTTATCAAAAAAGTCATCAACAGCAGATATGACATTATCATCACTGTGATACTAGTTCCCAGTCAAGTGTTTTTTTTCTTGTTGGGGTATAGATGATAGATGGGGGCCAAATCAAGAGAATAGAGAGGGTGAACAACCTGTTCAAAGCCAGAGTCATGCACAGCAGCCACTGAAACCAAAGACTTCTGTCCTAGAGAAACAAGATCCCTTTTATCAGTTTTCCAGGGAATTTGGTCTTTACTGCTTTTTGTAACTGCCTCAGCAAGTTGGCATAGTACTCCCCATTGAAGGTGTGGCCTTTTTGAAGATAGCCATTAAACACAAAGCCTTTTACATCCCAAAAACTTGAGGCTATCACCTTCCCTGCAGATGAAATGACTGTATGGAGCATGTGAAGAGGGGTGTTTCCACCGTATGGATCATCTCTCTGTTACTGGCTCTAAGTGATGAACCCAATACTCATCTTTAGCTTGGAAATGTTCAAGGAAATCAGCTGGATTTGGCTCAAACAATGTTAGATTTCCATGTGATGTGATCAGCTTCTGCACGTTGGATCATGGAACCCACTGAGCAGAAACCTTTATCATGCCAAGTTTTTTGTGCAGAATATTCTCAACTCTCTCACAGGAAATGCTAATAGCATTGACGATTTCATTTATAGTCATTCACCTGTCATCCATCACCATATGGTGAACACAATGTTTTCCTCTGTGGTAGCAGTTTCAGGATGTCCATACCTTGGGTCATTTTCAATGCAATTATTAATAAGAAGAGTTGAAATTAATGTATGCAAGATTTCACAGCTCTAGTATCACTCCTGCATAGTTAGATAGTACTGTTTAAAATGTATAATAGCATATAATTTAAATACAGGAATTTTTACTTTTGCTTTAGTTTTATTTAGAAGAAATAAAAGGTCACTCCATTATTGATAAAACTGAGAAATTTACACTAGCATTTAACCAACTAAACAAATGTCACTTTTTTTATGAAATATAGGAATAATAACATTTTATCTTTAAGTACATTAGAAGTCAAATAGAGTCAGCAAGAAATTATTCAGTTGTATTTTTCTGAAATGAGAAAAATATTTTTCAGGTTTCTTTAATAAGTAGGAAAATGTGAAGATCTGTCCATTTAAAAAAAAAATTCAATAACTTCATAAAGTTCTTTTCTTCCTCTGACCAGGTGTTGAACAATATTTGAGAAAAATAAGAACAGTTTCATTCAAATGAAAAAGTTCCCTATAACTGGATTTTCTAAAAAAAGAAATTCACCAATGAATAAAAATTTACTTTTTGTTATATTTTCTGAATTATGTACATTGTTTAAAAAGAAACTAATTCATTGCATCAGAACAAATTTTCCCTCACAATTATAG